GCCTTAGAAGTGTTATTGCCTGGGTCAAAGGGTATGCACATTTTTATAGCCCTTTGGGCATAGTTCCAAATTGCTCTCTAAAATAGTTGTATCATTTCACAACTCCACCAACAATGCATTAGTGAAGAACTCTATTTTTTTTTTTTTAGGAACTCCTTTTTTTGGTTTTTGTTTTTTTGGGGGTTTTTTTTAGTGAGGCAGTTGGACTTAAGTGATTTGCCCAGAGTCACACAGCTAGTGGGTGTTATGTGTCTGAGGCCGGATTTGAACTCAAGTCCTCCTGACTCCAGGGCTGATGCTCTGTCCACAGCGCCATCTACTGCCCCAAAGAACTCTATTCTTAATCAAAGTCTTGGGACATCGGGGGTGGGAGGCTTGGGGGGAGTGGGGGGGAAGGTGGCACAGCTAGACATGATATTGGGCTTCAAGTATTTGAAGGTCTATCATGAAGAAGAAGGATTACACTTGTTCTACTTAACTCCATAAGACAAGACTTGAAACAACGAGTGGAAGTTGTAAAGAGACAAATATAGACCTGATATAAGGAAAATTTGATACTTAGAACATCTATCTCAGAAGGTGACCCCTTGTTGGGTTTGTTGCAAAGAGGACTCTTTTCCTATGAAAATAATCTTCAACTCTGAGATTCTATAATTTTGTAATTATAGCAGGGTTGGGGAAACTGCAACCTCGAGGCCACATGTGACCTTCTAGGTGGGTGCGACCTTTTGATTCAGTTCAAGTTTTATAGAACAAATTCCTTTATTAAGGGGGTTTGTTCTGTGAAGTTTGGATTCAGTCAGAGGGCTGCACTTGAGGACCTAGAGGGCCACATGTGGCCTTAAGGCTGCAGATTATGCACCCCTAGTAGCTTCTTGGTTTTATTAGTAAATGATAGAACAAGGATCAGATGCTAGATCTTTAAGCTTCTAGGTCACTCCTTTTATTACTATTCTAGGCTACAAAGGACCCACAGGTCACCATGGCTTACTTCTGTAGAAATTGGCCTAATATATTTCTGTAGCCAGAAGGGCCAATAGTGCTGGAAATGATTAGGAAGGACATTTAAAGTATTTTTGGTTACTACTTGAAGAAAAATATGGAAGTAGTCAAAAAACTATAATGACCAAAAGAATAACATGTGAGGCAGCTAGATGACACAGTAGATAGATTGTTGAACATGGAGTCAGGAAGATCAGAGTTCCCATCCTGACTAAGACACTTACCAGCTGTAACAAAGAACAGTGCCTGGAACATCAGGAGAAATATATCTAGGGCAAATAGCTGTAAGTGTACCATTTTACATAGTTGATATAGTGATTAGTACAAGAGTGTTTATGTACTGAAACCATTCAAATTACGGTTTAGATAAATGAATGCATGGTAAACCCATAGCAGATAATTAAGTTTGTGTATGTTCCCAGCAGTTTTAAGAAGGGCAGCTGTTATTTCTCTCTTATTTGATACTGCAAAACAGAATACTGGTATGGCAGACCCTTTAAGTGTAGCCAGTTATGGTAATTCTTATGTTCTTATAAGGATCAAAGCCTGTTTTCCCCTTGCTATGTATACTCTAAGCTATTTATAAGTAATTATCATATTATCCCACTTCAACATTCAATTGGCATTTACTCTACATAGTTATTTTAATTTGTGTGTTTTTTAAGCAGTTCTTCCAAGGCTTTGATCATTTTGTTCTGTACATTTTAAGAAAAATGTTTTTAAATTGGAGCTAATCCAGAGAAAAACAACAGATATGGTTTTCAGAATTGGAAAATTGTTCCTAAGAAGAACAGTATAACAGTTGATATTAATCTGTCTAAAGAAATGGTGAGTTGATAACTGGCTTTAAGCATTTAGTGATTTGTCATAATGAGGGCCCTCCCCAGCTGGTATTCTTTTTCCTAGTGAACAGAAACTGATACATATCTTAAGTTCCCATGCCTCTACTTTGGGATTATCTCATTCCCTAGCTTGTTTCTTTACTTACCAACTTCCAGTTGAACCCCAAATGTGAGATCATAAGTCTGCGTCCATGTAGCCTCTACTAAATTGTTCTTTTTGGAGACTAGTATCAGTACTTAAAAAGTTGATAAGTATCCTCCAACATGGCTCATGTAGAGTATAATTTTGGACTCAGAATGCAACTTCTCATATAGTCTTATTGACCTCATCTAATTTTCAGTGTTATAGTCTCTGTGCGTGTGTACATATACAGTAAGGGCAAATGTGCTATTTTTCATATAGCATGCATGTTACCAAATTTGAAAGAAATAGAATGAAATAAAATTTGATGAACATTAAAACTTTACTAAATAGAATATTTAGAAGACATTGAGGATAGAAATGAAAAACAACATAATATCTGCCTTTGAAAAAAGTATTTACAAAGCTTTAGGATCATAAATATAAATGTCATACTGACACATTGATAAAATACTGGTTTGTAAAGATTTTCATTTAATATGATTCCATGTAACAGAATTTAAAATCAGGAGATAACTAAATTGCCTAGCAATGAAAAATTCATTCATTTAGAGTTTACTGTGTGCTAAGCATTGAACCAAGCACTAGGAATACAAATAGAAAAGGCTAAACATTCCATGCTTTCAAAGATTTCACACTGCATTTGAGGGTAGCAACACATGAAAAAAATCAGCTCCAAGGCACATAGAAAGGCATGGAAGTCCAAGAAGTTCAAGATCAGAGCTCACAGCCCAGGGATCCTTAGGCTATTATGGGTCAGATAACAGTGCTAAAGGTCTACAGAGATAGCAGCAGAGTATAGGCTAAAGCCTGCTGGGTGTGCATTTTCTAAAAGGAATAGTGTTGGTGACTGCCATTTTATCCACCAGTGTGAGCAGTTAAACAGCACAGATGGATTCTGGAGCCCTTGGTGGGACATGGTTCCCAGGGGGCACTTTTTATCATAGGATCCCTGTGATGTAGGTACATAAGTATTATTACCCACATGTTGCAGATGATTCACCACATTTGAGGCATTTACTTAACTGTGTCTTTAGGGATACATTTTAAAATTTTCCCAGGAATTGAAGTCAGATTATTGACCTGAGGTTTGTAGACTGTGTTCTTTTCATTAAGAAAAAAATATGTATTTGCTGTTTTCCAGTCTTCTTATGTTCCTCTGATTTTCTGTGATTTCTGTGATAATGGCTCATTAGATGCATTGTGTCTGTTCTTTGAGTGCTTGGGCATGTAGTTATTCTGGACAGTGCATTGAAATCACCACGAAAAGCTAAGGCTCTTTTTCTGTGGCCCCTCTTATATTGTGTATTAACTTCCTGTTAGCCATTTTTATCCTATCATTTTTAATGCTAAGGTTATCCTTCTTGGCAGAGAAAACAGAACCAAAATAAAGATTGAACCATTTTACCCTGTCTCTTTTGGCTGTTAACATCATCCTATGCTACTCTGAGCCGAGGTCCAGCCCCTCCTTTGCTTCTTATTCTCCCAGTCTAGGTCCAGGGAAGGGACTGAACTGTTGATTTCTCTGAACTGTCAGATGAGGAAACTTTCTCTAGCAATGCAGTTCATTCTTTCTCTGCAACTTATAGTCTTCGAGAGTTGCCCAGAATGTTAGAATCAGAAAGACTTGGATTTGAATCCTGTACCCAAAACTTGCTGGGAGACTGTTTGCAATTCATTTAACTTTTATAATCCTTTGTTTCCTCATATGCAAAATAGGAATAATACCTGAAGTAGCTGCCTCAAAGGGGTTAGGAGGCTCAAATGGGATAATGCTTGTAAAATATTTTACAAATTTTAAAGCCTCACACATATTTACACACACATATATACATATACATGTCACATATCATTATTATTATTATTATTATTATTATTATTATTATTATTATTATTATTATTATTATTATTAACCTTTAGACAGCTCTGATTGTTAGGAAGTTTTTACTGACGTCAAACCTCAACTCTTTTGACTTTTACTTATTTTTTCTGCCCTCGGTGGACAAATAGAACAAGTCTAATCTGTTGTTCACGTGACAGCCTTTAAGATACTTGAAGATAGCTCTCATGACCTCTCTACCCCCCTAACCCTTTGAAAAAAAAAATTCCAGGCTAAACATGCCCAGTTTCTTTATCAGATCCTCATATAGCATGGACTCAAGACACTTCACTATCCTGGTTGCCATACCCTTGATGCTCTTCAGCTTGTCATTGTTCTTCTTAAATTGTGGTGCCCAGAACTGAATGTAATACTTCAGATGAGTTCTGATGAGTTCAGAGTACAGTGGGACTATGAATTCCCTATTTTTGGAAACTGTGCCATGTCTTAATGCAGCCCAAGATCACATTAGCTTTTTTGGCTACTATATCACATTGCTGACTCATAAAGCTTACAGTTCACTAAAACCCCCAGTAAAACAAAAAAACTAACAAAAATACTACTGTCACTCTAGAAATGGTTCAGTAGAGAATTGTCAGAGTGATTATATATTTGAAAGAGATAATTTATAAAGAAAAATGAAATAAAAGTTAAAGGAACAAGGGGTTACTCATCATGGAGAAGAGTAATTTGAGAGAGATGATATAAAAAAAATCTTATATTTGAAGTTGTAATGACATTCTCTATTCTCGGAGATTGAATGAATCAGAGTAAATTTAATCTACACCTTAAGAAATTTGTTACAAAAAAAAATGTGAAATCCCAGTTGTGTCTTAAATACTGGTCTAGGTTATTGACTTTGTCTTAAAAATAAAAGGTAGTCACTTATCTCATATGGTATAATTGTGGCATTGAAATTTTAGGGGTATAGACTGAAGAAATTTTGAAGATCACTCATAACCTCATGATTGTCTGGTAATACATTTTATGTACTTTATCATGAGCTAGTATGCCTTATAAAAAAGAAGATATGAGTTCTATTTAGATATATAGTTCTGAGAGTGTGAATTAAGCTTCTGAGTCTTAATTTTAAAGAACTAAATAGAAATAAATCTTATCTCTTCTCCAAATGTAGGCAAACTCTTCCACATAGACTTTGGATATATTTTGGGTCGAGATCCGAAGCCTCTTCCTCCTCCAATGAAACTGAATAAAGAAATGGTGGAAGGCATGGGAGGAACACAAAGTGAGCAGTATCAAGAGTTCCGTAAACAGTGTTATACAGCTTTTCTCCACCTGCGAAGGTAAAATTAGCTACATGCTATTGATAGTTTTGGAAATTTCATATCCTTTTCATGTTATATGATGTGTAGTATGTCCTCCTTCAGTATGGAGGTCAAGGAAATGTCCTACATGCACAGTCTTTAGTCTTCTTTATACTTTCTTCCTTTTCCAGAATGACATGGGTGACAGTATTTCTTATTATCTCATTGGAAGATATTTGAATAATAATATGCAGCGTACTGGATTTAGAGTCAAAAGACTGGATTCCAAACATGGCTTTACTTTATACTTCCAGTACGACCTTGAAAAACTCACTTCTTGAAATCTCTGGGCCTAAGTTTCACACATTTTCAAAGTTGGAAGAAACCTTAGATCTCATTTAGTCTAATGTATTCCAGACTGAGAATCACCCTCTATAATATCTCTAACTACTGTTCATCCATCCTTCTCTTGTAGACCCCTGTTGAAGAAAAACCTAGTACCTCCCCAGATAGCCCATTCTATTTTTAGATAGTTTTAATTTTTAAGAGATTTTTTTTTTTAGGCAACTGGGGTTAAGTGACTTGCCTAGGGTCACACAACTAGTAAGTGTCAAGCAGTTGGTCTGAGGCTGGATTTGAACTCAGGTCCTCCTGACTTCAAGGTCAGTGTTCTATCCACTGTGCCACCTAGCTGCCCCAAGAGATTTTTCTTTACATAGAGGTTAAAGTTTCTTCTTTATAACTTTGACTCTAATTCTATCCTCTGGCTTCAGTTGCTCCTAATTCTGCTTTCTGGGTACAAGCTAAACATCTGGTCCCTCTTTCATGTAAGGTCCTACAAATACTTGAAGACATTGGATGACCTCCTATGTCTTTTTATCCAGACTAGATAATTAGTTCCTTTAACAAATTCTCACACGTCATAATTTTTAGGCTGTCGACCATTATGGTTGCATTTATGCTTTCAGTGTCCTTAAAATGTAGTACCTAGAGCTAAGCATAAATTTGGGTTTAAACAGGAGACAGAACACAAGTCACACCTCCCTAGCTCTAGACACTACTCCTCTTAATATAGCCCAAAATTTTACTAGTTTTTTTCTTCGGTTGTATGAGGTTGTTGACTCATACTTTGTTTGTGAGCCACTTAAATACCCAAATCTTTTTCAGACATACTATTGCTTATCAAAATCTTTTTCAGTTAAATTCAGTAAGCATTCCTTAAGTACCTGTTGTGTACCAGGCACTGAGCTAGGCACAGGGGATACAAAAGTAAGGGTGAGAGTCTATATCTTCATGGAGCTTACATTTTACTTTTTAGATCCTGACTTTGGCATGCACTTTGTCAGCTATGTTGTCAGTTTTGTACCATCTTCAGATTTCATAGACATGTTATGTATGCCTTTATCCAGGTCATTGAGAAAAACCTTCTACAAATGGAGCCAAGCACAGACCCTGCTGTGTTCTACTAGAGACCCCCTTCAAAGTTGTTATTAAACCATTAATGTCTTTTTGGGTTTTGTCATTAAACCACTTCCAGGTCCTCCTGATTATGCTGTTAACTTTCCCCATCTCTCCAGCATTTCCCTATAGCATGAGACCATTTCAAATACTTTGGCAAAGTTTAGGCAAAAGATATCTACAGCAATCCCTGGCCTACCAGTTTTATAACACTTTGCGAAAAAGAAATGAGGTTATTCTGTAGTAGCCTATTCTTAACTTATGCTGGTTCTCTATAATTACCACTACTTTTTCTAGATGTTAATAACCATCCTTTAAGTAAATCATTCCAAGCTGGATATGCATGCCTACAATTTCTGCTAATGGGGAGGAGAATAAAACTGGAGGACTGCTTGAGCATGAGAGCTCTGAGCTTCATTTGGGCTAAAGCTTATCAAGTATACTCACTAAACCCAGCACAAATATGATAAGCCCCAGAAAAAGGACAACGAGGCTGCCTAACAAGAAGCAAACTGGCCCAAGTGGGAAATGGAGCTGGTTGAGGCTTCCATACCTATCGTTAGCGGGATCAGATCCATGAATGGTCATTGTGCTTCCAGCCTGAGCAAGGAAGAGAGACCTACTCTATAGAAAAGACAAAAAAAACCAGTATTTGGCCAGGAACTGAATCAAACTCACTGTATGATATATAATACAACACCTTTTTTTTTCTTTTTTGAAAACTAGGATAATCATTGCCCTTCTCCATTCTTTTTGTACTTTTGCTTTCCATTATCTTTCAGATCACTGACAGTGGCTCAGCAATATCTGACAGTTAGTTATTTTGCTAGGGATGATCATAACAGGTAACTAAAAATCTTCCTGCAGGAGGATATTGACATATTTATGCCTACTGTTTGGCTTCAGTCATTTAACCAGTTCTGAATTTGCTCAAGTGAAAATCTGACAACTTTGCCTATTGTAGAAGAACAAGTCTAGCTCAGAACGGAAAGACACTACACCAGTAAGATGTTCATTAATTCTATGTCCATGGAAATTCCTAAGAAAAAGGAAAATGTAAAATGCCCCTCAGCCCTTGCCAGACCCTTCTTCTTCCTCAGTGGTGTTGAAGTAGTAGTGGTAAGAGAGGGGGCCAATAATATTAGTAATCATGAGTTTTAGATTGTTTATAAATATTACTATTGTAATCTAAATGAGAGCTCTTTATCCAGTGACCATCAAATCTATGTACTATTGGAAGAACTGAACCACATAAATATTTTCATTCATTTGTGCAATAACTGAATCTAGGAGATGAAAGGAAGTTACAATGAAATGGCTAGGATATCTCTTAGCTTCTCCTCAGATAGATAAACAAATTGGCAGAGTTGATTTTTCATTATATGCCCCAAAGCAATAAGAAACATCATTTCATGGAGCGCTTGGTTATCTTGCTGTGCAATGCTCACAGTGAACATATGCAAAGAGATTAATGTAAGTACTAACATCTGTTACAGACAATAAAGAGGTAGAGAAATCCTATTAAAATTTTGACAAAATTCTCCAAACCAAGGCACCATGTTCATTAATATTTGGTGACCTGAATGTAAAGAATCGTTTGCAGTCTGAACTGTTGGGACGCATGGCCACATCAGTAAAATGATAGATCTTTTGAATTATCGCTATACATATGTGTGTATACATTTACACACATGTATATATCTCTAAATATACATACATACATATATACATATGCATACACACACATATCTCCAGATATACAGAGCTCAAAACAAAATCAAGCTCATAATAGCACCCATCACAGACTTGTTATCAGGAAAAATGAGATAACAAGTATTTAACAAACCTTAAAGTGCTATAAAAGCTTTAGCTGTTATTGTTGTTATTATTTCACATTAACTTTACCTCCTTTTTGAAATATCTCCAATATCCAGTAGTTTTCTATAGTCTGAATGTTTCATATAAAAATAAAAATTTTTAAAGTGTAATTCTCATATCTGTAAAGTTTTTTTTTTTGTATCAGCCGTCAAATCAAAAGAAAAGGTGTTACCAGAAAGTTGTATGACTGAGAAAGGAGATAAGCTGGTCATAGTAATAGTAATATTAAAGTATATCTTCTTAGTTCACAGTGCAACTCTGCTTTCGCTTTTACCTATTCAGTTCTTTTGGTAATATATCCAAAGCCATATTTTGATCTTGGATCCCACCTTACCATTTCATAGTCATACTTGTTATGTCAGTTTGTTTCCTTATGCTAAGATCTTTAATTCAACTTGATTATTACTCCTCGTTTGCACATTTGTGTTTAGCCATGTGAGGCTAGACAAATCTGAGGGGGTTTTTTCTGGCTTTTTAAAAAATTTTTAAAATTTTGTCTTCTGTGATTTTCTGAACATGCTACATTATAGTTATAGTCTGTAGCATCTAGCTACAGGCAGATTATTTCCCCCTTCTTATTATTCCTTTTCATTTTAAAACCTTTTGATTATCTATGAAAGACTTTACAAAAATATTTTTACCAGTCCTTAGTTGGTATACTCTATCCCTAACCAAGAGCCCATTATTTCTGTTTCCTTATTTATAAAATTAGGGGTTAGACAAGGTGGTCTCCAAGGTTCCTTCTGCCTTTAAATCCCATGAAAGAAAAAGCCATCTGACTCTCCGAAGGTTATGATTACCAAGCCTCACAGAAAGAAGAGCAAGCTCATGTAGAAGTGAAGCAGACATAACTTCTACAGAGTAAGATCAGCATACTGGCATCCCTTTCAATAAATTCTAGGTATTGTGCTTTTATAAAATGGGAAAGAACAGAGGGAACCAGGCTAAAAGATCTGTTCCCTGTAATCATTCCTTTGTTTGTAGCTGGTAGCTGGGAGGTCTGTGGGGAATCCTTTCCTTACTTCAACTGGCTTCCTCTTTTGCTAGCTAATAAAAAAGCATTTACCTTATTTGAAGTGATATCAAATCACTTATCTTTAACCTGGTAGTGCCTTCATCATCTTCATCTCTGCCTCTTCTTCCATTGTTCTGAGGTTAAGGTCTTATATGAACTAAAAGAGACCATGATACATGGTTTCATCTCCTGTTTTAACACCTCAGTCTTTTCTAGAAAGAAGTAGTTGATTTGTCATTCACCCTCACTTCTTTTCCCAAAGTCAGTGTACTTCATGTCTTCCTCTAAGTTTGTTATTTAGGGTTGATTGTTACTACATCATCAGAAAGTAACAAGAATGTTTACTTAAATAAATGGCCTACAACTCCAGTGATTAATCAGAAATGACAGGACCATTTGCCTCTGACTCTCTTTTCAAGTTAACTATACAAATGAGTATGTAGTCATAGCCTAGTTTCTCACAAGTAGGGTTTGTATTATCAGGGGAAAAGTACAATAAAAAAGTAGTGCATTAGATAGGCTTGGCATTGGCATTTGGAATAAACACAGGTAAAAATCATGCACTCTCTGCCAAGGTTTTTTAAAGGATATATTATTTGAGGCATGTCTATGGGACAGGTGTACAGAAATGTATACTCTTATTAATCTTGTTTTACCTTTTCCATAAATAAATCTTCATCTTATAACC